GAGAAGTTGGTTGTTATGATTTCAGTCTTCTTAAATTTCCTAAGATTAGTTTTGTGGACTAACATGATCTGTCCTGGAGAATGTTCCAGGTGCACTTGAGAAAATGTGTATTCTGCTGGATGGGATGTTCTGTATATGTCTGTTAAGTCCATTTGTTCTAAAGTATGTTTCAATTTCAACATTTCCTTGTTGATTTTCTGTCTGAATGATCTATCCATTGCTGATAGTGGGGTATTGAAGTCCCCTACAATTATTGTATTGTTGTCTATTTCTCCCTTATGATCTTTTATTAATTACTTAATTACTTTTATTAATGACTTAATATATAATATACATATATGCTTAAATATTAATTACTTAATATAATTAATGTATACTTAATTTCATTGTTTAGTTGTTGGGAGCATATATATTTACAGTTGTTCTATCTGCTTGATGTATAGACCCCTTTATCATTATATAATGACCTTTGTCTCTGGTTACTCTTTTTGGCGTGAAGTCTATTTTGTCTGATATAAGTTTGGCTGTGTCTAATTTTTCATTTCTGCTTGCTTGGAATATCATCTTCCATTTTTTCATGTTAAGCCTATTGTGTGTCTTCAGAGCTGAAATGATTCTCCTGTAGGCAGCATTTAGTTGGGTTTTATTTTTTATCTATCCAGCCACTTGTGCCTTTTGATTGGTGAGTTCCATCCATTTTACATTTAGGATGAATACTGATGTGTAAGTATTTACTATTGCCATTTTGTCTTTTGCCTTCTGGTTATGTTGTCTTTCCATTGTTTCTTTTTCCTTCGTTTCTGTCTACTTTTGTAAGTTGATGGTTTTTCAAGGTTATTGGCACAGTCTCCTCCCCCCCCTTTTTTAATGTTTTGTGTCTATGCTTTAGATATTTGCTTTGTGGTTGCCATGAGGTTTACACAAAACATTTCATAGATAACATAGTCCTTTTGCTGCTGATAGCAATTTATTTTCATTTGCCTATGAAGTCTCCATTCTTTCACTCTTCCTCTTTTATATTTTTGATGTCACAAATGATCTCTTTTTAGGGGTGCCTGGGTGGCTCAGTCGTTAGACCTCTGCCTTTGGCTCAGGTCATGATCCCAGAGTCCTGGGATCGAGCCCTGCATCGGGCTCCCTGCTCAGCGGGAAGCCTGCTTCACTTCTCCCTCTCCCACTCCCCCTGCTTGTGTTCCCTCTCTCTGTCAAATAAATAAATAAAATCTTAAAAAAAAAAATAAAAAAACCCAAATGATCTCTTTTTATACTGTGATTTTGTTACCAAGTTGTAGTAACTGTAGTTATCTTTAATGCTCTTTTCCTTTAACCTTCATGCTGTAGTTAAGAGGTTAATAAACTATTCTAAAGAAGAGTTATCATATTCTAATTCTATGTATTGCCTTAATCAGAGTTTTGTGTACTTTCATCTTTTCATTTCAGCTTGAGGAGCTCCTTTCAACATTTCTTGTAGGGCAGGTCTAGTGGTGGTGAACTCTCTCAGCTTTTGTGTGGGAAAACCTTTATTTCTCCTTCATTTCTGAAGGATAACTTTGCCAGGTATTCTTGGCTGACAGTTTTTATCTTTTAGTACTTCTAATATGTCATTCTTCTCTCTCTTGGCCTGTGGAGTTTCTGCTGAGAAATCTGCAGATAGCCTAACCAGGGGTACTTTTGTAGGTTACTGTCTTTTTTTCCCCTTTCACTGTCTTTAAAATTCTTTCTTTATTGTTGACTTTTGACAGTTTTAATATAATGTGTCTTGGAGAGGGTCTTTTTGCATTGAGATAATAAGGTGTTCTATTAGCTTTGTGGATTTATATATCCCATTCCTTCCCCAGGAGTGGGAAGTTCTCAGCTCTTATTTCTTTAAATAGGCTCTCTTCCCTTCCCCTCTCTCCTCCTTCTGGGATACCCATTATTCTTATGTTGGCTTTTCTAATAGAGTCAGATGATTCACATGGTTTCTTCACTATTTAAACATTTCAGTTCTCTCTTCTCTTCCACCAGAATCATTTCTATTTTTCTGTCCTTGAGCTCACTAATTCTTTCTTCCATATGATATGCTGTATTTCCAGTACATTCTAATGCATTCTTTGTCTCATTTATTGAGTTCTTCAGCTCCAGAATTTCTATTTGGTCCTGTTCTGGAATTTCAGTCTCTTTGGTAAAGTATTCCTTCTGTTTATTAGTTTTATTGCTGAGATCACTGCATCACCTTCTTGAGTTTTCTTGTGGCTTGAACTCTTTACAGCAAGTGTTTTAAATTATCAGTTAGGTTATAATATTCCATGTCTTTGGTTGCTGGCAAATTGTCATTTTATTTTTGTGATACCATGTTACTGTGATTGTTTTCATATTACTGTGATTTTTCATGGTGTTTGAGGAGAAATGGTTCTGCCACTGCATTTGAAGTAGTGAACACCTTCTTTTAAAATGTAGGCAAGGTTTTGTTTACTTTGATTCTAACTGTTCAACAGGTTGGTAGTTAGGAGTCTTCCTTTTGTTTTCCAGAAGGTGGCGCTATAGCACAAGATTTTGGCTTCTGTTAAGGGATCTGACAGGCAGCTCAGATTGGGAGCACTATGCATTTAAAAAAAAAAAACAAAAGGTGGGGCAGAGCAGGGGTGAGTAGGGAAGGTGTATACTCAGTGCTTGGGGTTTTGGGTGTGCCCACTGCTCCGTAGGGGGATCCTGAAGTGGGGATGGTCCTCTTTCAGTCTCTTTTCCTCTCCCCCATCCCTGTGGTCTCCTCAGAGAGAGCAACTGGTCCCTCCAGCTGTGTAGCACATAGCCAGGCCGACCACCACTCACTCCTGACTTCACCCTCCACCTCCTCTGCCAGAAAGGTGGTGCTGGCTGGTTGCTGGAGCAGCCCACACCTTCTCTGCCATCACAGCACATGCCACCGCTGGCTCCGTCACCACCTCCACCCTCCCTCTGTAGTCCCGTCCGCCCACCTTAGGTGCACAGATGGTCAGATCTCTTGGCTATCCTGGTATGCTGTGCAGAGGTGTTTTTCTTTTTGGTTATGGATGTCCAATTAGTTGTACGTGGAAGGGGAGAGAAGAAAGGAATGACTCCTGCTGGTATGATGCTGACATCACTCCATAGTAATCCACCAATTATTCTTTATTTTAATTATGTTCCTTAACCATGGCAGGAAAATATACACCTCTGCCTCCTTCATTCAAACGTTGTTTTTAACAAAAACGTTTCTTTTTAATTTTACTAAATACCTTTCCAGCATCTATAGAGATAACCGTATTGTTGTTTGCATCTATGGCGATCGTGGATTGTATTGGTAGATTTTTCTAACATTGAACCGTCTTTGCATTCCTGGAACACGGTTAATCTGCCTTTTAATGTGCTTCCTCATTCTGAGTAAATCTGATTTAAAATTTACATTAATAGATTGTTTTAAAATATATGAAGTTTTTCTTCTTCTTTTAATGTTCTGGATCAGTTTAATTACACTGGAATTATCTTTTCCTTAAAGGAATTTCTCATAGAAAGTTTCCTATAAAGCTGCCTGGGCCTGGTGTTCTTGAGAAAGAGCTCTTTGACAGTATTTCCTTCCCTTCTTTTCTTTTCCTTTTCTTTCTTTTTTTGATAATAATTAGTACATTCATATTTTCTGGAGTTAATGTTTATAATTATATTTTTGGAACATTACCCATTTTATCCTGTATTTTGAAATTTGGGGCAATGAGTTGAGCAAAGTTGTTTTTTTGTTTGTTTGTTTGTTTTAATTAAAAAAATTTGGGCGCCTGGGTGGCTCAGTCGTTAAGCGTCTGCCTTCGGCTCAGGTCATGATCTCAGGGTCCTGGGATCGAGTCCCGCATCGGGCTCCCTGCTCTGCGGGAAGCCTGCTTCTCCCTCTCCCACTCCCCCTGCTTGTGTTTCCTCTCTTGCTGTGTCTCTCTCTGTCAAATAAATAAATAAAATCTTAAAAAAAAAAAATTTATTTACATTATATCCCCTTCCTCATTTCCTATGTTAGTCATTTGGGCTTTTTTCCCATTTTATCTTGATTAATTTATTTTTCAGTTTATTTGTTTTATGGTGTTTTCCAAGCACAAGCTTTTGGGTATTTTTATAATTCTACTATTGTTCTGCTTTCTGATTCATACAGTCTGGTTTTAATTTTATTGGTTTTTCTTTCTACTTTTTTTTCACTTATTTTGTTCTTTTCTAACTTCTTTAATTGGGTGCTTGATCCATTTAATTCATATTATTAATATAAATATTTAAGACTGTGAATTTTCTGTGAGTACTGCATTCTTTGGTTTCTAGCAAGTAATATTTTCTTTTTCATCATTATCAAGATATTCCAGAGCTTTAGTTTTGTACAGGTTAAGTCATTCAAGGCGATGTGTAGATGGTATTCTAATTTTGTTACTAATTTCTAGAATTTTTTGTTTCTGTCTCTATCTTTTGTTTATTTATTTTTTCCTTTTGATGAGAAACTGTTAGTGGGACACCTGGGTGGCTCAGTTGGTTAAGCATCTGACTCTTGATTTCTGTTTAGATCATGATCTTAGGGTCATGGGATCGAGCCCTGAGTTGGGCTCCACACTTAGTGGGGAGTCTGTTTAAGATTCTCTCCCTCTGCCCCTCCCTGGTCTCATGCTCTCTCTCTCTCTCTCTCAAATAAATAAATAAATAAATAAAATCTTTTTTAAAAAAAGAGAGAAACTGTTAACATTATTTTCAGAATTAAAGTTTATTTTATGGCCTCATGTTTAATCATTTTTTGTTAGTGTTCTATGCCAACTTAAGAATAAATGATGGTGTCTCTTTGCAGGGCATAGTGTTCTTTAGAAGACAATGAGATCTTTATTATTATGTTAATTAGGTTTTTTATCTATCCTTGGAAAGTTTGTGTCCATCTTTTCCCCCTTGGATCCTCAGAATGCAGTGAAAATGCACGCCCGATGAATGAAGGTATGATGTGGAACTCTTTGTGGTCAGCTAGAGTTGTGTTGTGTTCTGTCTTCTAGCCAAAGATTGCCGAGGAGAACCTGACCTACGCTGAGCTGGAGCTGGTCAAACCCCACCGGGCTGCCAAAGGCCTCCCCACCAGCACTGTCTACGCCCAGATCCTCTTTGAGGAGAACAAGCTGTAACGTGGCGTCCTCTTCCATGGTCCTATTTAATACCTGCCACCCCAGTTATTTATGATATCTTGGAAACAAAATCCTTATTTTTGTATTTTACCTCGTGCCTTCTGTGTGGTGAGGAGCCCTTTTCCAGCGGCGTTCCAGGTGCCTTCGAGGAGAGGTATGACACACGAGGTACGAGGCTCCTCTCCGTCAAAGAGTAGGGGCCACAGCCCTTGGACGAATCTCCCAGGACAGGATGTGTCTGGGTCCGAGCCCTGAGCAGTGTGAACTCTGATTCTGAGAGCACCCAAGGAGATTTTCTGCTGAGCCAAACCTCTTCATGTTTTCTCCTCCTTTCTTTGGGCTTTAATCTTTTTAAAATCTTATTTTAATCTTCTACTCTTCCTGTATTTGTGATACCAAGCTCATAGTATATAGCTAGAGGAAATGCCATTATAGGCCAAAGTGTGAGATGGTAGATATGTACTAATTGGTTTTTCAAAAGGTCAGAGAACATTTCTAGGGCACCTCGATCAGAGCGAACTGCTTATTGCAAATGGTCACTCAAGATAGCATCTTTTGTTTTAAATAGATGCACTGACCCTGGTGATTTAAGGGCAGAGGCAGATTGTGGGGAACTTTGATGTCTAAGCTAACAGTCCACTGTCTCTAAATACGCCAGTGCCCATTTCCCCGCCTGTGATCACCCAAGGATGCAGGGCGAGTAGCACACCATTCTAAAGGACACCCCCCCCCTCCTTCAGCACGGTGGACTTATATTGCTATAGAAACTCATATTCCCCAGAAAGTTCTTACTCACTGTTTTCCAAAGGAGCAAGGGAGGGAGCTAGCCATCGATGGACACGCTGGAGGAAGTGGGCCTCTTGGAAGTGTGCCGAGGTTACCAGCTCTGATCGAATGTCCGCTCTTGTGTGAGCAGAGTTTTTTTGCCTGGTTCCACTGGGGTAGGAGAGTAGGAAGTGCAGGCCGAGCTGGAAAAATGTGTTTTAAAGACCCTACTGTTGTAAAGTGCCTCTCCCAACTCGACTTCACATGTGATTTCTCATGTGTTTGGGTTGGGCTCAGGCAGGGATGCGGGGCAAATACATCTGTGCTGAAGTTGCCCTGTGTGGACTGATGCAACATCCAGGATCTCCCTGAAGATGGAGACCTTCTAGAAGAGAGACATCCTGTTGCCTGTGTTAAGGACACTTTTTGTGTGGGTGTGCTCTGGGTGGTTATTTACTGCACACTGCAGAAATTGTTTGGCTTTGTAATGGATCATGTATATATGGTAAATTATATATTTTAAACACAGCCTTGAGTGTGAGCTGTGCTCCTCTGTATAGCCATGTGCACTCGGTCTTACAAGTTTCTTATTCCCTAATTATCTCAGACTCATGTTTATATTAAGGTGACTTAACCTGTCATAGAATTCTTGTAATGGGATAACGACTCCTGCGAGATTCTGGATACTATATGTTGCTTCACAATACACTGTGTTAACATTCGTGCGACAGCCAGCACTTATCTTCAGAATGAAAATTTCTTTACAGTGTAAGGCTCTCATTACAATAGCTTCAAAAAGCAAATGTTTGTCCATGAACTTAGCTCTACAGTAACACTCTCAAAGACCCATGATAGCTTATGAGTACATCTTGTGGTTTATTGGAAAGGGTCCGCATTGGGAGCAGGTAGATTTTCTAGAAGCAGAAATAATCTGCCTTTACAAAGAGGAAGTCATTCTCTCTGGCCTATACCTGCATCTCATTTCCCTTCCCCTCTGCCAAATTTCAAAGATAGTGAATAAACCACACAGCTTTTGAGGAAGAAATACCGCCTGGAAGGATTCACTGGACCTTCCCAGAGCATCCTTTAGGAGAGTGGATATATGGTTGGCACACAATTCATATAATTATCATGGGCAGCATATCCTATTTTATCATGGCAATGTTCCAGCAGACTGTGGTTCTTTGGTGTTTTGAGAAAGGAGGGTGATTTCTTCATTTGCACGAGGAGCCATATGGGCTAGTGGGGCCCCCGGGGGTGACAGGTGGGGGTGGGGAGTGGGGTACATGGAGAGAAGATTGTGGGGAGAGGCAAGAGGGTAGGGAGCCCCCAGCCTTCTGCAGAACCAAACTGAACTTCAATCACCCTCAAATCCATGTCCTTAAATTCAGAGGGAGTTTAGGGCCATCATATATGGAAATAAACACATGCCGCTAAGAAGAGCACAAGCTTTTCAGAGCTGGTAGCTGCAGGTTAGTCTTAAAGGTCACTGTTAAAGAGTCAACCCAGACTTTTTCTCCAACATTCTGGTCATAACTGCATAAATCCACCCTATGCTTGTGTCTGGGCGACCAGATAGACATAGAGTATAAAAGGAGCCTGCCAGACCATCACCCCCTACTGAAAATGCTTCCTGAAGGAATCTTGGAAGGTACCGTCCGCATCTGAGCAGAGTTCATCCCACCATATCTCCAGAAGCAAACCGTCTCAGTTCAGCTCACAACTAGAAGCAATGGATGATCTGTCCCTGGTGCTTCTTTGGGATGATAAATCTGGACATTATTGTCATAGTAAACTAAAAAAATGGGTCTACTTGTTTATTCTCTATCAAGTAAATCACTAACCATGCCTTAAATTTCTAAAGTAAGGGGAAACATATCAAATAGAAATTAGGAAAAGCTCTTCAACTTGCTTTTACTCTCAGGCATCTATTGAAACAACTATATTAAAGCAGTTTATAAAAGGGACAATTGCTTGTACATTTAAATGAAATCAAAACAAGTAAGAACCCGTTACTCATAGATACTCTAAGGTTTGGTGGTGAACTTTGACCTATAAGCCAGGCATAACATGGAAACATGGAAACATGGCAGGAAGCAAGGCAGTGAAAAACGGCATCTTCAAGCTCTGAACTAAAGTTCTGAACTAAACGCCCCATGTTGTGGGGGGAAAGGGTTGGGATTTCTCTGGGATCTTGTCTTCATTAAAGCATCATGATTTTGTTAGCTCACAGGGCGAGTCAGAAAAAGCCAGCACCCCCGCCCCCCACCTTCCACACCCTTCCTGATACTTGCTGGAGTGAAAATGACATGGGGCACTCAGTATTTTTTAGTGCATAGTCATCTGGGTCATCCCACACATTGATAAGCCCAAACACTCACTTGGGATAAGAACACTAAACCAGTTGATGCTTTCAGGGACTGTTCACGCCCTCGTTCATCACTCAGCCTCTGATATGCATGACTGCAACCTAGGCTGGGCCAAGAATGGGGCTCATGCTCCAGGCCACAAAAAATGGTCCAAAGCTTGCAAGAGGCCTGGCCTGGACTAATCAGAATCCTTGGGAGAAACAAAGCATCTTTCCCTTGGGCAGCGAAGCTAGGATGCCACATACCAGATCTGCCTCCAGCCATGTCTCTGGTGAGTAGAGAAGCCTTGAAGAATGAAGGAGACTTCGAGAGAGAAGCAGGGAGGAAAGCACAGAATCCTAGCTCCCAGACCCTAGAATCCCCCGGACTTTTCTCTTTCCTTCAGATCTGCTTTTGATTCAATTAACTACCCTCTTTTCCTATCTTCTAAATCCTGGTTTTGTTCAAGCTCATCAGGTTGCAATGGCAAGAATTCTGACTAATATAGTATGCATCAAAGTTGCTTCCCAGCTCAGGAAGCAAAAGACTCCCACTGAGTGTCCCTACCCAGGGAGTCCACTTACATTATGTTCCATGAGGTCCTTGCAGCCACGAGTTTCTGCTGTGCTCTGCACTTTCCCACTGAGCAGACCTTCTCAGGGCCCTGAAGACACTTCTCGATGGAGAGGGACTGTCAGGACTGATATTCTCCTGATGGAGGGACCCTCTGGCTTGGAGTAGGGATAGCAGAAGGCCTGGAGCAGTACTAAGCAGCACTGGGGACAGCAGGGGAAAGGCACGAGGAGGAGATTCAAATGAGCCACGCCACAGGGATACTGGAGGGAGTCTTTTTGTGTGGCTGTGAAGTTTAGTGTGGCTTCCATATAGAACATGTCTTTCAGTGTCCCTGTGTTTCCTGGGGGAGAAGGTGGGACCCAGCTCTGTGTCGTTCCTAGCCCATTATAAGGTGAGGCAACCACATGGTGGGGATGTTGACTCTCCATCACACCC